GAACTGGGTGCCGCTAAGAGATCCAGCTCTCACGCTCAGCTGGACAGGTAGCATTCCTCACACTAGCATATGCCTCCGGCGGTGCAGTGCCAAATGGTCTGACCGGGAAAAGCTGCGGTCACAGTCCGCACACTTGAATGGCTTCACTCCCGTGTGTTTGCGGTAATGCCTCGTCAGTTCATCCGAACGAGCAAACTTCCAGGTGCAGCCTTCCCAAGTACACTTGTAGGGTTTCTCTCCTGGAAGAAACAAAGGGATACACGCTTTGGTACTCCATCACTTTTCCGTAAAAATCAAGCCAGCACGACGGATTGGGATATTAGTTTTCAATGGGATTTTCCATTTGGAAATCCTGTTGGGAAACCTGGCCATCTCACCAGCAGGTTTGGGGTGGGACAGATGGGGGTTTCGATCTCCTCTCTCCTGCTGTGACATCTGGCAAGTCAGGTAACACTTGCATCCTCAATTACAGGTAAGTCACTTTGCAGTGAAAATATCAAAGCATAGACTGTTTGCTACTGGATGTAACTGCCAGTGGGAGACCACACTGGGGTATCAGAACTCTGCCTAGGTTGATCTGGCTTAAGTCTAAATGAAGAATTGCAAAAGGTAATTAGTTATGTTTTGTTTCGATATTCTTCCAAAATGTATATCACTTAGATGGTTTAAGGCTATTTTAGGATACATTATCCATTTATCGGTTCCTGAGAAGATATACAAAATTTCATTAAAATGTAAAGCACTCCACCACCTTCAGAAATTAGGTATTAGGTTCATATAGTTCATAAACATCTACTTTTTTTGCCCATCTACTGGGAAAGAATCCTAGATATCTTAATAGTGTGAAGTTTAAATACCTTTTTCAGTGACAGGAATTAGGGCGAGCCCCGAGGAATCATCAGGTTGGTTCTAGTGTTGAAACTCACAGTAAAAAACAGTCTGAAGTAGTATGTAATTTGACCAGGTCCCTCAGTCAACTTGTAAGGACAGTAAAATATGCAAAGGCATTGCTGGGAAAAGATACACTATCCATTGTCCGATGCGCTCCCAGGGGGAGCTGGACAATAGTTGACCCAGGTGTGCTTTTTCCTGGCTCTCATTCAGAATGGAAGCCCTGTCCCCATGCAACCCCACAAAAACTGATCTCTCCTCTGTCCCTCCCATCCAGAAGTCAACAACATGCTGCTTGGCCACACATAGCCTCTGGAGAAATGGCCTGAGATAAGGAAGAGGGTCATTTGTTGATCCCTGTATACAGAGCTGCAAAGTGAGTAATGCTGACCCCACTTTACAGATGAGAAAACCAAGGCTAGTAAAAAGATGTGTTTGGCTCCAAATCCAGCACTTTTAACTAGGCTACCGTGGAGTGGGTAATTCTTTCCCAATCTAAAATTTGTCACAGAAAAAGTTAGTTCTACTCTCTTAGATACTTCCAAATTATTCACTTCCTATTGCTATTAAGCCACCTATGACAATATATCATAAAGATTTTGTTGAGATGCTTTTCTCCTCTACCAGTTTCTGAATATGTGGAGGTCAAGGACCATGTCTCTACTATTTTAGTATCCTCAGAGCCTAGAGCTGGTGCCAAGGCAAGTGATTGAATGAATAAAACCACAACACACACACACACACGCACACACACACACACACACACACACGCACACATGCACACAAACTACTAAGCCCTGTAAATGAGATGAACGAGTAATGCCTACATGGGAAAACTACACCAAACTGAACCCAAGATTTTCATTCTATTGTTAAATAAATGATATCTATATGACTCCTTTCAGGAGCAAACAGCCTTTTCAGAAGCCAGTGACTAGTACAGATCAGTTAAACCCAGAAATGTTGATGCACTAATTGTGGCCCACAGAAAGCTCCAGATAACTCCGACAGGGCTCCAGCCTACTGACTAGATTAACCCCAAACCTCAGCTCCTGACTCATTCTGGATGCCCTGTGGAGACAAAAATCTGCAGGTGTCTACTGATCAGAATTTAACAGAATTAAAAAATAAATAAAAATCAGCAAGACTGCTAACTTAAAAAGACTTGGTGACAGGGGCTACTATATAGTATATGAATAGCAACTGTTAACATGCCTTTTTTTTTTTTTTTAACATATCATCCCTATATGTTTTTTGAATTTACATCACGAGTATGGGTTCTAATAAACTCAGCTTGATATAAACCATGTCTTTAAAAACACATCTGCCTTTGGGGCAATGAGCTCAGCCCACTGACTTTGTCATCAACAGGCATCTCCTAGCTGTCTCTTGTGTTACTATGCAACCAGCTACAGAGAGTGTTAAGTCCTAAGAAGCAAAGAATTAAGGGTTTTTCCTAACTGGGTAAAAGTATTTCTCATTTGTGTGGTAAGAGGATGTGTATGTTTACCCGGGTGAGGAAGTGTCATATGAGTATGACTGGGATTAGACAAGCTTGCTACACCCTCACCTGGCCATTCCAGGTCAAGTGAGAGGAAGGGGCTCCATATCAGGGCCGGGCCTAGAAAGCAGCGAGGGCCAGGGGGGCGGACAAGAGTTTCCAGTCCCATCTCAAGAAGGATCTTAGAGGCTGGCAGGGCCCACTGTAGAGACAGTTTGTTGTCTCAGGTGCTCTCTGGATCTTCTTGTACAACCAGTCTTGACACTTAATATTCTGATTTCTTCCTCAAAATTATAACAGTCTACTTCTACTTTTGTTCTGGCTGTTTAACAATTTTCCCCATGAACATTTACTGGAGGGGGTGGTCAACTGTGGCCCCCCCCAGGGCAAAACCAGTCTCTGGCCTGTTTCTCTGTTCAACGTGCGAGCTAAGAATGGTGTTTAAATTTTTAAATGGTTGGAAAAAATCAAAAGAGTACCATTTAGTTGCACTTGAAAATTACATGAAATTCAAATTTAGCATCCATAAATTAATTTTTATTGGAACACAGCCCAACGTTAATTTGTTTACATATTGTTGATGGCTACTTTCCAGTGATGCAGAATTGAGTGTTGCAACAGAGAATGTATAGCTTGCAACGCCTGAAGTATTTACTATCTGAGACAATAGAAAGTTTGCTGACCCTCGATATAAGGACAAGGCACCTCTGCTCTTTGTAGGCTCCCTGATTATGTTAAGTTATTGAATGACACACATGTTAGTTTAGGATGAGTGGATGAGAAAATATTTCGGCTATAGAATAATCACTTATTCTCGACTTAGGACCTCAATTAAGATTCTAACAGTCTTCTCAGTAATAAACACAATATTTCTTGTCAAATACTTTGAATTGAGAGTCCTGGGCAACAGGAAGTGAGTGATTATCTGAAAAGGCTCACCCAATTCAAACAGAATTTAAAAAATATCTTTGGGATCTCCTCTGCTCATTAAAAAATGAAGGTCTTCCTTATGAGGGCAAGGGTCAGGATGGAGTAAGATATGTCACCTAGTAACCAAAAGGGCAATAACCCTACACAGATGGAGCTCCCTCTGCCCCAGTCACTTTCAATACAGTTATGCACAATGGCCACTGTAGACGATGACAAGTTACTATATTCTGCCTTGTCTGGGAAGGAGGACACACAAGGAGAAGGATCAGAAAGTAGGAGCTTAGATGTTTGGCAGTGTTACTAAGATGGATATTTTAAAGGGGAGAGCAGGGAAAGAAGCAACTGATGTCAAGGATTTCTGTGAGCCCACAAACGTGGAGCAGGGAAGCAGTGCTGAATCTGAAAAGTATTCTATGAGGTGGAATCAACTGCAATAAGTGATCATGAAAGACAAGGGTGGGCAAATGGGTAAAGGCAGTCACGAGGTGTGCACTTTCAGTTATAAAATAAGTCCTGGGATGTAATGTACAGCATGGTGACATGCACTTTCAGTTATAAAATAAGTCCTGGAATGTAATGTACAGCATAGTGACTATAGTATAGTAACACTGTATTGCATATTTGTCAGTTGCTAAGAGATAATAACACTGTATTGCATATTTGTCAGTTGCTAAGAGAGTAGATCTTAAAAGTCCTCATCACAAGAAAAAAATCTGTATCTATGCATGTTGATGGATGTTAACTACACTTATAGTGATCATTTCACAACATATACAAATACTGAATCATTATGTTGTGCATCTGAAACTAATATAATGTTATATGTCAATCGTATTTTAACTAAAAAAAGACGAGAATAGGCATCAAAAATACAAGAGGTAGATACTTTTCTACTCATGAATAAAAGAAAGGAAAATGACATAAAGCTTATAAGTTATTAGGGGCTAAGTGATTAATGAAGGCACATAATAAAGAATGCAAACCTTCACTGGGGATGGGAGGAGAGAGAAAGTATATCAGAAAATAGTAAACTTAATTTTCTGAGTGATAAATGAGTTTTCCCTGGAAATTTTCTCACAGAAATGCGTACTTTCTTTTTTAATATTCAAAAAAATCTCATGCATAATATTTCTCGCTCTCGTTGCCTCATTAACAAAACTGTGACGTTTGGGTATTCTATCTTCAGGCTTTAAAAGAAAGAAAGGAAAAAAAACAAAACAAAACAAGATCTTCAAGTTTATCTTCAAAACTAGAGGCTGAGCTATGGGAGTGGAGGAAAAGGAGATGACTACTCTGACCCGGCAGAGAGCTGGCTTCTGTCCCTCGCTCAAGAGAGACCTAGGTTTCGATTATACCCACCGAGTGCCTAGCATTTCATTAAACAAAACAAAACAATAAATGCTCTCTTTGAACTAGTCAAATTTTAGAAATGAATACAAGAACATTTTAGTGGCTATTGCACTGTATTTAAATGGAACATTATATTTTATGCTTGTGCTTTAAAGCACTTTAAAGGGTATAATCTTATAAACAAATTAAGATAACAGTAACTAACTTCATAATGTGAATAAAAACTAATTAAAATGATAAATAAGTTTGTAAGCTATATTGAAGTGTGCTTAAATGAGCCCTGAAGGATATAATAAAGGACAGACAGACTTCTACTTCCATCCTACCTTCTTTCTTCTAAAATCTTGCTAGAAAATAGAAAACTAAATCTAATGCTAAAAAGTTAGTGGTAAGGACAGAATGGTAGATACATTTTCCATGAAAATTTTCTGTGGAAAGAGCTGGCTTGGACAATAAGTCAGGCGTCTCCCAGTGTCCTGGCTTCTACTGCTCACAGCTGCTCTGCATGAGGCTGAATGACAGCAACAGTAAACATGATTTCTAGTAATTTCTTCAGGAATAGTGAAC